ATAGAACCTCATAAGCAGTGAGAGAAGGTGAGGATTCAGCTTTGAAAACCAAGAACTTCATTGATCTCAACCACAGAGGAGAAGGCTAGGCCTGACTGAGATAGAAGTAGAAAAATACTCCCAAAGGGATGAGGTATTGGATCAGAGTGAGAAAACGCTTTTCCAGCTTGACTAATCAACCCACACGAACAGCCTCTTGAAGAAATAAATGAGTGTGAGATGTTTGTAATGATGAAGGTAAAAGCAGGAGGTCATCACTATAATGGTGAAACTGTAGACTGTAATTAAAATAAGACGGGCAGACCATCCAACAAAATACGTAAAGTGCAGAAGCCAGACCAAATGGTAGAGTGTGGAATTGATATACTCCACCTAAGTGGACAAAATGAAGGCAATGTCTAGAAGCCGGGTAAATAAAGATAAGAAGGTAAACATTCAAGATGATTAAAGGTGGCATCTAAAGACCCAGAATAAACACCCACCTAAGAGTAAAGAAAAATTCTATACAGCAAACAAGAAAAGCTGATGAAATGGTTGAGACTGGAGAAATCAATGACAGAACACCAATTTCTAGGCTACTTGGTAATTACAAGCAAACAGGAATAGAACTCCAGAGAAGTGTGAGTGATGGGTACAATATCATCCTTGTGAAGAAGATCCCAAATTGCTTTGGATAGATAATGGCAGGAAAATGGATCCCAAGGATGAGTAATGGGAATGGAATACAGGGATAAATGAGTGGGGTTCAAAAAGGAGGGAAGAATCCTTCAGATAACACCTGAAGCACCCAAGAATGTATGGAGAAAGCACTCTACAGGTGAACACACCCAGCCAGACATGCCAGAACCAAAAAAGATAGTCACTATGGAAAACAGGAGGGAGTGATTATCTGACAAAAACCACTTATGTGAATGGTGGATAAATTTACAGAGGAGGTGGATATAGGAAAGGTAGCAGAGTGACAGCTCAACTCCTCTGGAGGCCACGTCTCATCTTCACCTGCAGAACACCACTGCCCTACTCTCGACTGAATGGTTCTAGCCCTTTCTTTGTGGAACTCATTCAGAAGATTGCCTGCATGATCAACCACACCAGGGCTTGAAACTGGAAAGTGGTAAGGACTCCCGCTCCACTAGAAAGGTAGCAGAGTGACAGCTCAACTCCTCTGTGAAATCTGATGAGAAAACACCTCTAACAAAGTCCGGGAGGAAGACAACAAAGGGGAGGAAGACAATGGGATTAAAAGCCAAACACAACCATGGAAAGAAGCCATATGGCCAATAGAAAAACGAAGAGCACAGACCTTGCATAGCAGTCGATCCAGATTGGGATGAGGATAAAGATGTGAAATGAAAGACAAAGGGAGTAGATACCTCCCCTAGCCGCTGATGTCTTGGATAGGAAGGAAAGATCTGGATGAAGGAGAAGAGAGGGAGTGGGAAAAATATACAAGAAACATCGTGGGGAAACAAATCCAACCTCTAACGTACAGAGGAGAAGGAATTATGTTTGAAGGGAAAGTGAAACATGGAACACGAGGAAAGTGATGCAAATGAAGGTAAAGCGAGGGATTAAAAGATTACAATGATATCCCAGGTTGGAATGGTAGGCAGTCAGGGAGGACGACTAATTCGGAAGGAACATAATAAGGATAGGTGAGGTAAAAACTCTGCGGTATTGGAAAAAAAAACACACACTAAGATAAGGAACAAAATCAGGGAGACTGAAAACCCACAGTCGAAAAAAACCAGGGGAGAAACTCTGCTACCCAAGACACAGGAGTTCAATCTGCAGAAATCCCAACTGGTAGATGAACTACAGAACACTTTCCACTTATGCCAATAAACCTGTTGATAACTAGTGTTTGGCCCCCTGAGATTGTACTCAAAATATATGTAATCCATGCTAGAAAAAAGGTGGACTATCTTGATAAAGACCAAACAAAGTTTTTAAACATCATTGGAAGCATTTACTATTCAAAAACTCATATAAAACTTTAAAAACCTTTTAAAATTCTAATTAGCTATTGAATCGATTGAAACAAGGGTATACAATAAACTTGGTGTTGCAGACTACATAATTAATCAATTGATACATCGCTGCATCTGCTCAAATTGAACCGACAGCATGTCCAAAAATTATGAATGGGGAATGTAAACAGCCTAGCAACATGTTGCTTTACATTGGTCATAAACAAACTGTTCTGTCCTGACAACAGTTTACTCTACGTCATATCGTTGGATGTGGCTGTAGCAAAATAACGTGTGCAGCAATTGTTGCTGATAAAAGTGGTATGAACAATGGCAGTATCATTGGTATATTAAATAACTGATTTATATATATATGTTCAATAATTAGAAATCACAACTCTAACTTAGAGAGTTATGCAATCAATATTTATATTAAATAGAAATGAAGTACCTCACCAAACTGAATACAGGCCATAACCTTAACGTATTCCATGAATATTTGTGAATAGTTCTACAAACATCTTTAGTGGAGCAAAGACAACACAATCTTGAAAATAGTTTATCACCTGTGCTTTAAGATTTAATATAATTATCATCAATATACTATCTGAAATTGAAACAAGTCCATTGTACATAATGAAAGCAATATTGAATAGCAGACGAAATGTTGGAACATAGTGTTACCAAAATGCACTGGCTTTTCTACATATTAGAAGTTGTTAATCTAACTGATTTTCACCAATAATTATTCTATGAATAGGCCACCTTTGCTACTAACATTCCTTAAATAATATCATAGTGTATCTGCACTTATTACTAATTTCATTAATACCTACTGGTAGCTTTCTTTTAGCTTGTTCCATACACTCTTCTTCAGTGGGCATATTTTTGTATAGAATAATTTTTATCTACAGATGTCTGGGGAAAGACTTGGTAGAATTCAGCTTATGGGGGCAAAACTGAGAGATGCATTTTCTTTAACTTCAAATATTAGAAGTAGGATGATTTTTAAGAGGCCTTTTTTGGAATAAAAAAGGGTCCTATATGCTGTAAAATAAGGTAGTCTGTTTATTTTCAAGCACAATTGACTGTTTGTGCTGTGTTCATTACAGGAATTGAAATCCAAATTTTAGCATTATAAGTCTTCCATCTTACAGAACTGTTGAGGCTGGGGCAAATATTTGGATTAATAAAGCAAAATATCACGTTGAAGAATAATGGGATAATAACATACAACAATATAGTATAAAAATAATAGCAACCAATTACTCCAGAATATTATACTTATATGCTCATTGTGTAATTGAAAAATTGGTTATTCTTTACTTTTGTAATGTGTTCAACATTCCAGTCAATCTTGCAAATAAAAGACAACAAACAGTTTATTTTATCACCTATCTTTTGTCCCCATGGTCTAAGAATTTTAATAGCAGTCTTCATAAAATTTCTTCTTATTGGATCAAGTTTTGAAACATCTTAATTTATGACAGTAATAATTTAATCTATTGGTTTTATTGTTCTCAGCATAGTATGGATTTTTTCAAACAATTAATGTTGTCAGACCAGTTATAGCTACTTAAGATAAATCATATCGACCTGGATAGTCCAACTGGCAAACCTGAAGGCATTTCTGAACAGACAACCAACCACTAGGCACATATTAAAACTTAAAAAGTAATTAACCTACAAATATAGCCATTGACATTGAGGTTTAGTTGCCAAATGTCTATTGTGTATTATTTTGGAAATTAATACATTTAAACTTAAATAAAACCCTGTTTTTTTTTTTTCCCAAAGAGACTGGTTTCTTTAAAAAGTTCTGATATATTTGCTGTGTCGATTTCTGAAATAGAAACAGTTACATTTCAAAACCATTTTTTTGTTTATTTTATGCATATACATTAATATTATTGTAAAACGACTGACTCTTAAATATAAACAATTCATCCAAAACAATAACTTTCTTTGAATGAATTGTACATAAAGTATCAAGATTGCTATAGAAAATTTGTCATAAGCTAGTAAATGTCTTTTGTGACTAAATCCACCATTTTTCCATATCTTACAGCATGTAATATGCATAGTCATATAAGACATATAATCAAAGAATGTTTAGAAAATAAAACATTTGAGAGTATCAAAGCATTTGATGTTTACTCCAAATAACATAAAATATGAAATCTGCATCACAAGAAAAACTTATTTCAATGAAAATATCATACATGAAACACATTAAATAAGATTTGTATAACAAGAGAAAACTTTTCAGTGAAACAGCAAGGTAAAGAGTAAAAAACACTGTGGTTCTGAAGAACCAGGCGAACTGCTCAGCTATACCGACACACTAATCATCTTGGATTGTTATTATCTATTATAAGTTCTCTCTTATATATTTAGCAAATTTTATTCATTAATTATAAGCCTAATAATCACCAAAGAGAGAAAATCATTCACTAAGAAATCTGGAATGATCTTCTATCTAGTTTGAATTTTTTAATCACAAACATGAAGACACCGTTACACAACTGAAATATAATATGACAACTGTGAGTGATATCTAGTTCAAATTAAAAGGGAACATATACTGTTATTGGAGATCATAACAATTATACTATCATTGATTTTTTACATAAAATAAATCAAGCACTACTTTTGAAGTAATGTAAAATTTTGTAGAAGTGTATAATACAAAAACATACTTTATAAATCTTAAATTTTTGAAACCACGTTATTGAAAAGTTTATTTTTTAACACCCACTAATAAAATTCAGAAATTGTTTTTCAAATTTATTCCCACTAAAATGGTAAAAATCCACATACAAGTCTCATTTTGAATGCAGATGTTTCCAGAAGACGTCTTTCAGTTAGTTTACCAAGTATTAATCTTGGCTTGTGCTAAATTGAAGAAAATAAATAAATAAAATACTTGTTATATAGAAGAGAATAAATTTATGGAACATTTGTGACTTTTAACATCATTACATTAGATTTCAAAAGGTATGGATAATAGTTTTTGTGCACCTTTTGTTCCAGATCGGCAGGTATACGAGTCAATCTTATGTTTAAGAATAGAGACCTTATGGTTTACCAACACTATCCAAGATATCAGGTAACTTTTTTTTTACAATATATAAACAATCGTTACAACTGAAAACACTGTTATTTCAGTAATAATAATAATATATTTATCAAGCATAAAATAATTTACATTAGCTAAGCATATGAAATTGTATTAAAATATGTATTAGATGAAACATTAGGATTTAAATGTTAACATTGGTTGTGTAATAAGAAAGAAATGACTGACTATGACAACAAACATCTGATTAGTTTAAACTTTGCTGACAATTGTTAATTTCCATGTACTTTTTCATTTTTGCTGTATATAGGACGTGGAACTATTCAGTTACATTGGTGGATATATTGGAATTTGGCTTGGTATCTCACTGGCAAATGTATTGGATGTGATCATTAACTGCAGCATTAAAATTAAAAACTGGTATTTAGATCTGAAGGAGCAATTATCAAATATCATAGAATCATTTCAACAAGATTTGGCTACTACTGATGTGATAGAAGATTGATACAGTTTGGAAAAAAGGTGTATTGGATATTAAATCAGTTACCATATTAATCTCTCATAGAATGTTAGCTTTTAAAATGCACACTAAACTGTAGATTTATTTTGGGTAAATAATATTTAAAATTTAATATTTAAAAGCATATACCAATTTAGTGTTCATTTGATGACAAAGTTATGTTATGATGACTGAGATATCATATTTTGTACTTTCACTTGCACCTATTTTTTGTGCCCTTGTAGTATTAAATGCAAATCTTGTCCTATGTAGTCTTGCATATTAAAAACTTTGTGCATGAAATGTAGAATTTGTTTTTATTAAAGATAAACAAACCTAGCTATACTATCCTTGGGTAAATATTTTCATGATTGGTATCTGTGTATTTAATAAAACTGTTTTCTTCCTTTCTTTTATTATTTTGTAAAATACAAAGATAAATTTTTTTTCAGTTTTTCCACTTTTTTTACTGTATATTTCTGTACTTGATTCTGTTCTTATTGTATAATATTGTTATTGTCAACTGGATAAAAAAATTACTAAAATGCATAAACTTTTGACATTTTATTACTTATTGCAAAATAATATTTATTGTACTCTATATGTTGTAGATTTTTACACCTGTAGAGCACATTGCTGTAATGATTCTTACTCAAGTAGGAATTCCATAGGCCACTTTTTATATTTATATGTAGGGAAATAATTTCTAGTTGCATTGAACATACTTTCATAAATCTCTACATTTTTTTATGTTTTTGAAGGAGGGCAATGGAGGTCTTGAGTTTTTTGTTGTTGTTTTTTCTGATCAGCTTCTGTGTAATATATTTATGCATATACATGCTGGTATCTAGCCTGATATTAAATTATGACACAGAACAATTTACATGTGCTACTATAATTTGCTCTTTGTGTATCTAAAATTAAATTATAATGTTACCCTGTTAGTAGTAGAACTGAATTTACCTAACATAATTAATAGTAGGCACACATCAGAAGTAATATGATTATTTGGATTGAAGAGTGAGTGTGATTCATGTTGTCCAGTTGAACAAATTAAATTTTGAATTGAAAGCAGATCCTTCACTCTTTCACCACATACACGCAATCTTTGTGTATCTAGATCATGAACTGACCTACTTGAACAATGTTTGGAACTTGTTTGGTTAAATCCAGTTTTATTCAAACTTGACCTGTACAAACTGTCATCCTGTAACACATCACATCATATACCTCACCATAGTAGCTTAAGAATAAAACCAAACATTCATTTCTTACCTTATGAGGTAAGAATCTTGCAGGTATCCATGGTACTTCTTGTTGGTAAAAGAAGTGGAATGGAAGGTCTAACAGTTTGTTACCACTAGAGGGCTGAAGATGCATAATTCCCTACTTGTTCAGGAATAGCTCACAGAAACTCTGAGAAAGACAGAATTTGTCGAGTTAATATCTGTGTTTCATTGCAACAGAAAACAAAGTAAATTCAGAAAAAATATAATAGACAATCTGGCTATTTTTTCTCAAGAAAAGGTGCAAGAAAACAATATAAAGCTACAAAATTCTAATAGACAAAAGCACCATTGGCCACAGATTTCCAAAACTTGTAAAACTTCTGTTTACTAGTACTAAATATCCTCTTTTTTTTATTTTAAATGATGGATTCAATATGTATGCTGCAACTACTATGATTGAAAAAATTCAGTACCTCTCCCCCCATTTGTTATTCAAAATTCAGAATAATCTTTTTGTTTTACAGTAAAATAATAATATGGTACTTCTGGAGACATTTCTTAGTCCGTTTTTTGTAATAACTTGAGGAAATACAAAAGTACGTATTCAAACAGTCTTGACAAAATGGGTTTCATCAGGAAAAAGAACACTTCAAGTAATATAATGAGTAAGTGTATATCTGTTATTGTCTTTATGTGGTCTTTAAAAGAAATGCAAATCAGGTATTGGAGGTAGATCATCCTATTTGGATTATCTGATCTGCTTTAGGCTTTGGATTTTGTTTTTCTCAAGTCAACTAACTTCAAGTTAAAATTACCACTTTTACTTCTTGTGGTGAATTCTTTTGTCAGTTACAGTCAATATATCTTAATATTTTATTAATTAACTTTAGATTTTTTTAAAACAAATAGACTTGGAACTTTTAAATGTCCAGTTCCATTCTTGAAAGACATTCTGTGTGCATTTTTTCCATAAATGTGCACATTTTATAAGTTACTGTCAGTTTAAATTGCAAAATGAATTTTTCAGTGTCACATGCAAGTTTATTAACCCATTGACTGGGGCTGCTCTAAACATGCTCAGAATTTTTTTTTGGCAAGCCATACACCTTACATGGCACACTTGCATTCAACTGCCAGAGGCAGATCGTACCCTATACAGTGAATCAGCAGTCAGTGGGTTAAACCGAATATAATGATATATACAGTATTTTGTTGTATCTCTTACTGTATAAATATGGTTCACTGTGTTAAGTTTTCTTTTTGTGTGTGGTATAGAAAGTGTAATAACTTCTTAAAAGTAGTTGTGTTTTAAAGATGTGTTCAGGCTACAGTATATGGTGTGTAATTTTATTTATATATATATATATATATATGGTGTGTGATCTTGTGTTTTAGTCACAGGATATATTTATTGAAAATGCACTGCATATATTAAAATGTTTGAAAGCATTATATTGCAGTGTTTTTACTCAATATTAATGCAATTGTTTAAATGCATCAGCTTAACTTCACCATAAAGACGAATTCATTATTGGGCACTAAATATGGAAAACATCATAAAGACTCGTACAGTCCTCTTCTTGAGCCATTTGTAATTGACAAATAAAATCATATAATGGGATCCAGATGTGAGTAAACTAGTAACTACATATAATCTGAACTTAAATTATGCCAGAAACTTTAATGTTCCTGTTTTAAAATACCTTTTTTGTGTGTTCTGGGGGAAAAAACGAGACTGATTTCGGTTTAATATGTTAATAATCCTTATTCTTTACTTGCCAAATACTCAGTTTTTGTACTAAATACTTATGTGTATCTGAATGCAACACTAAAAATAACTAATAAGTATTAAATCATCCTACTTCTTAGCAAATTTGCATTCTAGTATCCAATTCAGTTTGATAGGGGACTTTGAGAACATTTTTTGCTTCATATTAACAATCATTTTAACAGTTACAATGTTTGTGATACTTTATTGGTAAATAAACAACATTTGATTACTAATCACCTTTTACCAGTTATCAGGTTTCTTTAAAGACAGGTTGATTTAGTAAAAAATCAGGTTTTATCTACAAATGTTATGTTGCTTGAATATTCAAATTAACTAGTCACATCTTACACAACAAGGTCAGTTACAACATATTATAAACAGAAGAACCTGTATTTACCATTGGTCAATTCACAATTTCTAACATTCTTTGAAGAGGTTACTGCTTATTCAGATGAGGGTAAGGTTGTGGATTTGAATTTTCAGAGAGCGGTTGACAAGGTGCCACATGAAAGATTTGTTAAAGAATGATCTCTATTGTTGTAGGGGAAAGGTTGGTTTGTTGGATAGAAAATGGCTAAATGGAAGAAACCCAAATGTTGTTATAAATGGAGTTAGTAAAACTGGATTAATGTTACATGTGGAATACCTTATGACTCAGTGTTAGGACTTTTGCACTCTTTGATTTACATCAGTGGCATAGATGAAGGAATGGTCAGTATGTTACTGAAATTTGCTGATGATATCAAGGATTTTGGGTGTTGCTAGCTGTGAGGAGGATGCTGCTGCTTTACAAGAGGATTTAGTGAGTTGGGCAAATAAATGGTAGATGGCTTTGAATTATAATTAATACAATGTAATGCATGTGAGTTATCACAGTTTGAATTACATTAAGGTCTATTTTTTCCTCTGTATTCTGTTCCAAAACTTTTCTCTGGATACTTTCTTTTAGTGTGTCACTCTAAACCTGTTGGATAAGATGGGTAACAATGCTTGATAATTGTTATGCCTTTCAACTGGAAA